TCATCGGGCTCAAATTGTGAAAGACTGGTTCAGGGAGCATGACACATCATTTTCACACATGGATTGGCCACCACAGAGACCAGACCTGAACCCCAATGAGAATCTCTGGGATGTGCTAGAGAGGGCTTTGCGCAGCGGTCAGACTCTACCATCATCAATTCAAGATCTTGGTGAAAAATTAATGCAACACTGGATAAAAATAAATCTTCTGACATTGAAGAAGCTTATCGAAACAATGCAACAGCAAATGCGTGCCGTAATCAAAGCTAAAGGCGATCCAACAAAGTATTAAAGTGAGTGACCTTTTTTTTTGGTGGCGACTTTTTTTTTTGGCCAGGTAGTGTAGTTTGTAAACAGCTTTATACTAAACATTTCATACATGGTCCTGTTTATCATTGTTGTCAAAATATTTAATAGTTAAATTTTAAACATTTTTAGGGTATATAATGAAGGGAAATGACAACTAGATATTTCTTAATAATTTCCCATTATATAGAAAAATTGTAGAAACAATACTGTATAATTAGTAAAGTCACAGCTTGCTTCCATGTAAACACAGAAAAATAGCAAACTGCCAACAAAGCAGACCCCAGTAGTCAAAACTTACCCATGGCTACTTCCTATTCATATCCAGCTGATAATGCAACACAAAGCACAACCATGACCTGCACTTCCTTTGCAGCCATATTCCTTTAAAACCTTCAGCACGTTGCAGTTCTCTTCCACCCTCCTTTAGTGAAGACAAATTAAGCCATTTTCTCTATTGTTTTACATAGTTTAGTAAAATCTGTCCATAATCTGCCATAAAGCCAACTTAAAACCCTTCTTAGAAGTCTTTTGCCACAAGAAATCACAATAATGTCAATTTAGAACATAGTTGTCTTTAGGTACTTTACAAAAAGAAAAAAATATCAACTCTAACCAATACCAACAGATTTAAAGTCAAGCTCATAGAGTCTAAACAATCTTTCATGGCTTACTGATTTTTATTACGTAAAACTTCAGTCCGAATTTTTGCATAGTTTTAGTTCTGGCTCTATAGTCGGCATAAAAGGAACTCTAAGGTCACCTTTTTAAAGTCCTTCCATTTCCTCTGTGTGGTGACACACAGTTTGTAATAATAGGCTGGCAGTGTGCTGTCACAACACTCATTAACTCTGCAGCAGCAAGAGCTCCATTGGTTGCCATAGTGAGCTGGTAAGCTGCTCTAAAAAAGGAGAGTGGCAGGACAGAAACAAAAAGATGATGAGCCAGATGAGCACGCACGCATAAACACACCCTCGCACTCAGGTGGAAACAACAGAGGAGGCATGAAACGATCTGTCATCAGTGTGCACTCTCATGCTCCACCATTCAGCGTCCCAATAACACAAGTGCACGCATCTATTGCCTCGGCTTTTCTGTCAATGGAACACTAAACTAATGCTTAGCCTTCTTCCACACGAAACAATCCCAGCACCATCACTGTCATTTTTCTGTCATGTGCCTGGAAATTACACAATCAAACTGCAATTTCCTGCCAATTTCCCCTGGTTTGCACCTCTGGGTAAAAAAGAACAACAGATCAATAGTGCAGAAATTAATGATGACTGTAGACTCAAGGTGTCATTCTAACTACCATTTTCTCAGATAAGTGCCTGAATAATCACCTTCAAAGTCATTAAGAGTGATGACTAAAGTTACAAATATTTTCATTTTTCCCTCTTCAGAATTATTGTTATGTATCAGATGTGCTTTAGTCAAAAAACCTTCATCTTCTCTTAGAGGTTAGTTCTCAGGCTGCATAATGAGCCGTCAGTTTGTCGGAGAAAATTTGTACATCGTTTAAAGAAAAATATAGCAGATGTCACAACATTGAAGATAAAATGTACATGAAGTATAGTGTGCCCCCCCAAAAACACGCTTACCTGAATGACACCACCTCCGTGGCCATGTGTCCCCGCTATAAAACTCTCAGGCAGGTGCAGCATCTTCCCAAGCCAATCTAGCATCACTGTCTCCAACTCTGTGCAAGCTGGACTGGCAGCCTAAACACAATTTCAAGTAAATACTTAAAAAAAGGCTTGTTTTTTTCTGTGGATAGAAGATGAAAATTGTCTGGAATCACAGAGAGCTGGGATTGTTTTCTCATTACCCAGGAAAATCCAATGCAGCCGATGGCCCCACACAGCATATCAGCCAGCATAGCAGGGTAAGAGGAAGCTGCTGGAAAGTAAGCAAAGAAGTTTGGGCTGTGCCAGTGGGTGATCTGAAAAGCAAAGATAGGAGAAACTATGAAAAGCTACACATTGCAAATGGTAAATAGTTGAACTGTCTAAAACTTGTGTTTTTGTAACACATCTACCTGCATTACCAAGTTAGTACTTTTCCCAAACCTGCTATATTAAAGGACTGGTGTTGTAGATTTGTAGAAAGCATCTTTTTGGTTATTGATTAATTACATGATTAAACTTTTATGTGTAAAGTGTTATAAAAAATAAAGGAAAGAAATGAGAGAGATTACATGTTTTTGTTTTGTTGAAACCTTTGTTTAAAGAAGTCAGAATTGTTGGAGTCTTTGGAGGCTTAATTGTATTATAGAAAAATCTACAATAATTTGCCTACGGCTATCGCAATCAGATTTTCTTTGGGTTTTTTTTTTTTTTTTTTTCAGGTGTGTTGTTGTTAACTCTCCTAAAAGGCAGATGATGCTGGAATACTGGAGCCCAGAGTGGTGAGAGATTGTTTTTTTTGTTTTGTTTTTTAAATGGAGTAAAGAGAAGTACAGAACTGGATGCATGTATCAGGTTTACTTTGAATACAGAGTGAACAAGTGTTATAAGTGAAACCTATTTTATATAACCTGTGACCCATTTAGTGATATCTATAGATTACTCTGAACTGAACCATTTGAAGATTGGAGCCATCAGAAAAATATCTAATCACTCCAAACTAAAACTGCCATTTTATTATTGGGACTGCTATTGATTGAACAAATAATGAAAATGCTTTCTGTATCTTATATAATGTTATTCGATATTGATTGTAAGAATAAGGCTATATGTTTCAACCAGATCGAAAGATGTTGTCGTAGTTATTCATGTGCTTTAAATGGGTTATACCCCCACTAACCCAGGAGTTAAAGTGTAAAGTGGATTTATTCATTTTGAAATCAGAATTGTGCCAGATAGGACTGTTTATGATGGTGTATTGTTAGTAATGGGATCAATTTTCCACCAGGCTCTAACACCTCCAGAAATTGCTGGTGTCTTGAAACAGGGATAATTTTTTTAACGAATTCACTTCACTAATGTAAGTCTGATATAGAAAGTTTCTTGCGTTATAATTGTTTACGATTGAGCCATTTATTTAATGAAATTGGGTACGTATCCGTTGAAGTATGTAAAATAGTCAAATCTTATATAGGAAGTTAGGAGCTTAAAGCCCTCCTATATTATTTAACAGTCTTAATATTGTGAGTTTAATTCTAGGCTGGTTATTTTTACAGAGATTTTATGGGATGGAACATTGTTTGAACGAATAAAAAAAGCATGTGTCGTCACCTCACCCCTGGCATTATGACTCTCTCCACATCATGCATTATTTCTTCATAACTCTCAGGCTCAAGTGGGGCCTCCGTAGGGATTAAAGAACGGAGATATCCGGGTTCCAGATCTGGGTAGACTGGTCGCTGTTCTATATTTTCCAAGTAGTCTGCCACATAGTCGACCATCTCCTTGCCTCTGCGTCGAAACTCTGCAGCATCCATGATACTACAGGGAAAGAATAAAGATTAGGGAGTAGCCTGCAGGTGTGGTTGGTGTTTCAAGAGTCTGAATGTGACTACTTAAGGATTTCTGACAATTTAGAAAAGGACAAAAAACACAAAAACACACTGGACCTCTCAAGATTAACCTTTGTTCTGTGTGTTGCAGGGATTGAATGGTCTTAACCAGCTTTTTGGTACAAGAATGCTTTAGGAGCATATTTGCTACTAGAGTTGAATATTTTATAAAGGTCAGAACCTCTAATAATACAATCCTTTCACATATAGAACAGTTTTATTCGCTATTATTGGGACATTGGTAAAGATGTTTGAAAAGCCTAATTGTAATCACACGTTCACTGATTCAGGTATGAGTGAGTGTGTTTATGTGTCTCTGTGTCGTCAACTGTCTTTTGGCCAAAGACTGACCATAATCAACAAGGAGAAAAAGATGGAAGGATGGAAAGATATGATAATTCTTTATCTTTCAGGCAAACACATTTTTTAAAGTTAAAACAAACATTGATTTTGTTTAAACATCTACAGGCTGCATATCTTTATTCTGAAATATGTATATAATTAAATAATATAATTGAATATTTCTTAGGAAACACACTGATATTCCAAGGAAAGAATTAACAGAACAAAAAAAAAAGTTATACAATTTTTTTTCTAAGTAGAGCAAGGAACATCAATAATGAAAAAGTTACAGTGCATTAAAATTCAAACTTAAGTCACTTCAGTTAAGAAAGCAATTTATGTTATATACAAGAATAAAAAAACAACAATCATATATTTCAAGGTAATTTGAATTTTTCTAATCACAGTGCTGAATCTATGAAATCAAATTGTAAACAGAATTTATCATTTAGGTATAATTGATTTTAAAAGGTTTAGACAGTAGGGCTAAGAGACTGAGAAGAGTTAACATATTAACACCATTATTGATTATATGCCTGGTTCAAACAGTTCATAGTTACAGAATAGTCTTGATAAAAAGCACTAAAACTTAGAAAATTATGTTTTTATGATACCAAAGGTTTTTATAATGCAATAATTTAAAAGGAATTTGACCCCATTCATGGAAATGGGTCCAAAAAGACTACGAAGCTCTTCGGGTAAAAAGTGCAGTCTCTGATAAAGTTCAGAAACCAGTTATTTAATGGTGCCAATAAGCAGAGAGATTCCCAATCTAGCATAAGAAGCAGTTCATCTTCATGTTTTGGCAGCCTGACCACCATTGCTAATGTTCCTTATCCTGTCCATGGATACCACAGCCACACAACAAAAGAGGTTATGTACTTTGATCTGGAGATCATCGTGGACTTCTGGAAGAACCGGCCTAACCACGCTCCACTGCTCATCAACAGCTCAGCTGCAGAGGGACTGCAAACACCACCTCACTGGTCAAAAGAGCACTAAAGCGCATGTACTTCCTGCAGAGGATGAGGAGAGCCCACCTGCCCCCACCCATCCTCAACACCTTCTAGCACCATAGAGAACGTTCTGACCAGCTGTCTTACTGTGTGGTGTGGAGGCTGCAGCGCCTCAGACTGGAAGAAGGTGAGAAGAGCAGTAAGAACAGCAGAGAGGATCATCGGGGTTCCTCTTTCCTCCATTAATGACATTTCATCCCAGCGCTGCGTGTTCCGAGCCCATAACATTATCAATGACCCCTCACCCCCCACAAAGGACTGTTCTCCCTGCTGCCCTCTGCGAATAGACTTCGAAGCATCCGATGCAGGTCCAGCAGATTCCAGAAAAGTTTCTTCCCCACTGCCATATAGACTGCTGAATGTTTTGTCAAATTGTCTTTTTTTTTTTTTTTTTTTAACCCTGAATGTTGGAAGCTGTAAATCATATACAGTTGTATGTTTACATTTATCACGGCTGCTTACATTTTATCACTACTGCACTTTAAAAATGAAAATGTCTTGAGAGCTGTTTTTGTATACACTCTGCATGTAAAAAATGACAATAAAATTTGTCTAAGTAAGTCCCTCTTCAATGCCCCTATACAGCAGAGCTGCAGGTACTGAAGCAGCAAAGGCAACATTCTCAGGTCAAATGTGGTTTGCAGGTCCACCACTGCATGAACAGTGAGCACGGCTGCTTCTTAAATACCATAACAAACAAGACTAATGTTGTTAAAATTGATATCTAGTATGAGTAGACGTGTCTGCATTAACACTAATGCAGCAGTGCTCTAACAATGACATTCTAATATTTAAACATACATGTTTCATCTATTTTTATATCACACTAATGGGACTTATGGGCAGGAAGGCCAATTTCTTTTTGACATTATTTTTATTTTTAAATGTAATGACAGAAATTAAGGTTGGTTTTGACCCCTATTATGGGGTTGAATTTTGGTAGTGAAAAGTAGTCCATTCAGTGCCCCATAAAGGGTTAAGTGTGTCATTTTTTTAATGAATAACTTGATCGTTGACCTCCTTACTTCAGCAACATTCATTACACCTACTTCAGAAGCTTGGCAGACTTTTCTCAGACTATTCACATTTAATATTCTCTTTTTAAAAAGTCTAGACACATGATAAATACTTTAGTAAAATAAAACAAACCCGGGTATCACCCATCCACATGCAGCTGACCCAGAAGTGAGCAAAGCTAATGCTTGTGGGCAAATGCAGCATCATAGGGACAATTTAATTTGATGGTTGGGGAAAAGGTTGGACCTTATTCTCCTGCACATTTCTGTCGTACCGCCTGTTTAAACAGTATAATAGCAAATGAACATTGCCCCCTGCACCATGTCATTGCCTTATCATTCAACAAGTGTTACAGTGCAGTACTTCATTGTTGTTGAGCAGCAAACCCCTTATCCAAAGCATTATCTCAAATAGGATTAGACATGCTGTATGGATGTGTGTGCGTGTGTGTGTGTTTACTCACACTTTCAGATCCAGAGAGCTTCACCAGCACTGTTTGGAGAGTAAATCTTCGTTTCCTTTATTTCGAGTCCAGAAGCAGTCAAACGGACAGCCAGGCACGTGTTGAATGTATTTCTGTGTGTAAGCAGACCAGGAGACATTTGCTCCTTTTATCTTGCCTCTTACCACCCCCATCCCACCAACCCCGACGAGGCCAACCAATGGGAAAGGGGCTCATAGACAACGCAAGACAGAGTGATTCATAATGTGTTCCTAACTAAAACCACCCATAGATGAAAGGCATTTACCTTTAAATATACTTCAAAAATAATATACTATGCAAGGTCCACATGTACCAACAAGAAAAACATTTATTTTTATTTATTTAAAGCTACTGTGCCTGTAAGAAGTTTATATACATTTTAATCAGCGTAACAATCATGTTTAGTTTGGAAATCGAAATGTTTATATTACATTTGTGTTTCTTATCCAGGCTGGAATTATTGTAAAACATATCTTTAATCAGTCTATTCTCTACTTCATATTGGCATGAAATTATACATTCAGACTCAATTATATTTATACAACACTTATACTTATTTAACTGGCTGAAGCAGGTGACATGAAAACCACATCTTTGTTAACCGTCAACAAAGTTCTGGTATATTTTTCTAGAATATTTAACCATTTTTCCTGGTAGAAGAAGAGGAGCTCCTTTAGAAACTATTAGTTTTCTGTTATAGATTGAGCTTTTAAGAAAAGTCTATAATTTTTCCTTGAAGCAAGGAATCAGGCAGTGCTAACAGGTTTACATTAACCTTATTTGTTAATTTATCATAGAACCCATTTTGATGTATGTTAAGGATCATTGTTTTATTGGAACATCCAAATGCAAGCAGTTTTCATTCATTGTACCTAAACTGCCATTTCTGGAACCACAAAGGTTTAACTTTTGTTGTTAAAACATCAGTAAAGCAATGTGTCCTGTATTCCGAAAAAGTTTAAAACTAAACAATCCACTGGACTTAGTTACCGAGTTTGAAGACACTGCGCCTCTCATCCAGGAAGCTTTTTTCAATTCAAAATGTCAGAATCAGCATTGAGTTCAAAGCTTTATAAAGTTTTTTTGGAATGACTATGACCTGGATGACTGAGAATCTTCACCTGTATATTGAATCCCGTCGTTGATTTCATGACTCTGTTTGTGGTCCTTGATCAGTAAGAAGGTACCCTATTGGGTCTTGAGATCAGGGGCACAGATGGGGGGCCAATCATTACCCAATGATACCCAATGATCATTGGCCACCCCTGTGTAAGGGTGATTGGGTAAGGGCCATGGCCATCCTTACCCCATGGCAGCAGTAATACTTTTAAGTGATACTACAGTAATACTCTCAATATTCAAAACATGTGAATTTTTCATAGATTAACAATTACTTGACAACAAAAACACTGTGGTTAATTATGCACATCAATATACTAACATTAAAGATAAGTACAGAATTCATGCTCTTGTCAGAACTAGGTTTTGTGTTATATGGGGTAAAGAGAAAGTGCAAATCATTTAGGAGTCTTCAGTTAAATCATTGATAAATAACTACTCTTATAAAAACTTAGTAAATAAACAACTTTTTGTAGGTATTAGTGGTTGTAAATATAAATTTTATACAGGATGATTACTGATAAAAGTAGGTAAGTAATGACAATGGAAAAGATGTTGGACCCAGAACTCAAACCTGAAAGAACTTTATCCTCCATATCTTTTATCGAGATGGATTTTAAATATATGCCTCTATTTGTTAGCAAAGGCTGTAGGAGAGTATAGTTTGTCTTTATTTGGAAAATATGGTTGTTATGGTTGTTCATTTTCCTGTTGGATATATATAGATTAAACCTAAGGTTCTGGTGCCAATCCGATTTCAGCCACCCTTCAGTGTACATTGGTTACTGCCTGGCCACCCTTATAAAAATGCCCTGGCTACGCCTCTACTTGAGATCCACTACAGAGTCGAACTAAACAATAAACACTTATTTTTAGAAAAGCATCATTAAACTATGCAAAAAATCAGCTATTTTGGTTGTTGATGCAGTTTCTATATTCTTTACACCCTTGTTAATTGATTTTATAAAAATGTTTGTATGCCTAACTAACAGATTAGGTCATGCGTCGACTCTGATCAGGTTTGTGGGTCATAAGTTGAAAAGTTTGGAGGCTTCCTATCTAGAAGCACTTACCATGAAATAGACCCTGAGCATGGTACTATCAACACTATGAAACTGAAATTGAGATAGTGAGTAAGTAATGTATTTGGTCTATGGAAATGTGAGGGAACATCTGAGGGAACCACAGACTATCCAGACTTTTAAAAAAGGATTAAAAACCTTTCTTTTTAGCAGAACTTACGACCGTTAACCTTTTATAATTATGCTACCTACTTATTTATTCATATGTACATTACAATGATGTTTAGTTTTAAATGTGTTTTCTTTTAGCTTTCTATGATGATTTTACCTGTAGCACTTTTAGATTTTTATTAAATGTAAAGTGCATTACTGATAAAATTCATTATTGTTATTATTATTATTGGTTCTGAAAGACTCACCTATACTCATTTAAACATCTTTTCTGTATTTTCTTCCAAACAGCCCAATATTTCTCTTGTCTGAGCATAAATGTTTTCTCCTATTGGGCATTTAGGTTTGAAGCAAGTCTTTCTTTGTCTACACCCTCTCTGTACATATTTGTCTAAAATGTCCTTCTCTGTGGACACCGAAAAAGTATTGGCACCATAAAACTTTTTACTCCAGTCCTTAAATACCAGCAGCATAACCAGTAGCACTTAAACTAGACTTTAGCCCCTTAAGGAGGCAGAGAAAGTGTTACAGAATCAGCGCTGAGGCTTTTGCAATGATGCAAAGTGCAGGCAGTCCAATGTTCAAAAAGGTCTCCATCTCCAAAATCACTAACCTTTAAATTCTAGGACTTTAAGGGAGGCTGGGCACATACTCACATGTATTGGTAAATCAAAATATGCCACCTTACAGGTGTAAATATTAGGAAGCAGTGAACACACGGTTCCTCTGGAGCATGCACACAGTGTTCTATCCTCCCCACTGTTTTGTTTTATTACAAAACCTCAAGTGAACTTTCTTATCCAGGGATTTCCAAAGTGTGGGAGAGTCTGCCTCCCTTCAAAGAGCCACTATGCACCTTCAACTAAATTATAGCTTTTCTTTCCTCCATTTGATGTTGAAGAAATTCTTATTTTTCACACTTTACATCAGCTTTAAAACAGACCAGAACAGACACTCATGGAGCATTCAATGTTCTACATATTTTCATATTGCCTTTTTATTTTTCAAACTGCACGGAGTTGACACATCTCTCTCTCTGTTTGGGTTTTTGTATATAAAATAATGTTTTTTTATACAAATCTAGAGCTGTGAGTTATCTCAACCCCAAAGAATTTATAAAGATGACCAAATTCTGCACCTTTTATTGGATGTAAATGACTTATTTGTCCTATCTGCACCTAAAAAAAGGGATATACACATTAATTAAACAAGGTCTAAATCTGACAAATGCTTCAGCTGTAGTTGGTAGAGAAGTGGTGAATATGACCCATTGTTGCAAACAGCAGAGAAAATATTTTGATGCGTACTTAAATATATATGCAGCATTTTGCATGAATTTTTGATTTACTTTGAATTTAAGAGCTTCTGAACAAAGTATGAATTATAAAAAGATAATTATCTCCAAATTACCTATCTTTACCTAAATGTAACCATTAAATAAACATTATAGTTTTTACAGTTCCTAAAGGTTACTTAATTGCTTGTCTTTGCCTTACCCAAATTATATTTTAATTAATAGAGCAACCAAAGCCCTTTTTTTGTTAAGGTACAGTAGTTCCAGTTTTATCAACGTTTTCAACATTTGCTGTACAAGCCCATTCTGGGCTGATAAGAACAAAGTGTTCTAAGAATACCTTAAGAGCAAAGGTGGGTACTCTCCGCATTTCTTTCTGAACACATTTTCTCCATAGTAAGACATGAGAAATCATTAGACATAAATATACAAAACCATTAGTACAGCTAATACTATATAAGACATAATATTAGTATCCAAATGTTAAAAAGTACAACTCGAATATACAGTGGATTAATTTTACAGATATTATTATATTCTCTTTCCAGATCAAATAAAACTGGTTATTTTGTTTAGAAATAAGTCCCAGAGTGTGGAAGAAAAATGCTGTCTTTAGGAGAGTCAGCCTAGAGGTCAGGTGTCCATCACAGACTGGCAACTTGGCAAGGGTCCACTGATCTCTCCTTTCCACTCACTAACAAGGGAAATTGTCATGATCTGGCCTGTTTGCTCCTCCCCAATTAGTAATCCCTTTCACCTGCCCTCTTCCCTCCCTGCCTCAATTAGAATTTATTCCTCTCACCTGTTTCCTCTTGTTTATATTCAGTTCAGCCTGAGCATTCAGGGCCAGATCATTATTTGTTTTCTGTTAGCCTGTCTGTTAGTTTTATTTCTTCATGTCCTGGATCCTGGCAGCCAGTGGAAAGAGGGTTTTGTGTTTGTCTCGTCTCCTGATCGTCCACTGTTCCTCCCCCGCGGAGTCCTCTGGGTTTTTGGTAGTGATGGTGAGATGAAGCCTCATGAGGCATTGAACCGTTTGGCCAAATTGCTTCAACGATCCCCACAGTTCATGAGGCTTCATGTGAACATGTCACCACCTACTGGTAGAAAGCAGAACTAAAGTTTTTAATAAAATCTGTGATTTTTTTTTGCAATAGTTTTTCTTTTTTTCCCCTTTTAAGTTCCCTTGAAATTGTTAATAGTTGGTGTGTATAATAAAATCTTTGGTAAGTTTTTTTAAGTGTAAAACTTCTAAGAACAATCATTTAAGGTGTACAGTTTTTCTGCGATTTTAGTGAAATAAACTCAAGCAGACAGTGAAAGTGTTTGTGCAAATTGGGCAATGACAATGATGAGCAAAATGAAAGGTGTTAGTCATTTTTATTCAAACATGATAGTTTTTCCACACTTTTTAGTTTTAATCAGGTTGGAAGTTGTGTTCAACCAATCTGTTGGCTAAACTGACCTAATTTAACCAATCTATATTTTTACTCG